CAGCCGGAAGGCAGAAACGCTGCGTCGAGGCTCACAGTCTGACAAAAAAAAAAAAAAAAGTCCAACTTTAGCACTTTTAAGCCGCTTCACAAATTGAAAATGTTTATGCTTGGCGAGTCGTAATCTGTCATCGTATCTTTAGGCAGCTTTTAGCTTCTCCCTCGATCTTTTAAATGATTGTTCTGAGCGAGCGGTCAGGAATTTCTATCGTAGAAATAGCACAGATGTGAATCAAGTGACATATGAGCAAGGCTCATGTCAGTCATCGGTCGTTTTGTTTTGAAAGGTCGAGTCAAATCAGATCATGTCAAGACGCGATGAGTCACGCAAGGTTACCTCGAGTTGAATCTAGCGAGGCGGTCGCAAGTCGGGTAGAGTCTAAACGGGCTCTTCTCCAGTCGAGTCACATCAGCTTACTGCAAGTCGAGGCAACTACAATCAAGTCGCCGCGACAATTATCACGAGCAGCATTTTGGACCAACTGGAGACGCTGAATGGAGGATTAGCTGACTCCAAAATCAAGTGCGTTACAGTAATCCGGCCGCGATGTGATGACTCCTAACTGTGTTTTGCGGAAAATGACAACAGGTTAAGCAATCGACAGATATTTCCGGGGTGGAACGACTCGAGTCACCATCTCTTGACGCAGGCATTGATTTGTATTCATGCTTTTCATTTAAGCCGCCCCCCCCCCCCCGGCAAAAATGTAGTAAAAATAAATGCGTAGCTTCCTGTCCCCTCCTACACTGTTGCCCGTGTTTTGGTTTGTCAGAAAGGGATTTCTTTTGCCAGGATGCGTTTGCTTTTATAGCTACGCCGACGATCCCAAATCAGCCGCCAAGGGCTTTTCTCGGATCTGCCGCTCAATAGTTGCCGTGAAGCCAGAATGCAGCCCGTCGTGAGGACGGACCGTTTTACACCCATCGGCACAAAAACATGCAAACAAAACAAAACAAACAAAAAAAACGGTGAGTCAGAATGTGCGACAGGGCTGGGGAACATTTCCAGGATGGCGATGGGCATCGTTTCTGGGGAGGGGGAAGGTGCAAGGACGCCGCGGAATATTTTGTCCTGCTGCTTTACGCCGGGCCAAGTTTCTACCTACTGGGCTGAGAACAAATTCTCATCAACACACTTAATTTGTTTTTGTATCGTGACGATTGTGTCGCAAGCGTAATTTAGCAGGAGCAGGCTGCAGCGTGTGATCATGCGATCGTGTCTGTGGTGAAGCAGCATGGGGCTCATTGGTGGCCCGAGGTTGTTTGCGCATCCCCACTTCCGACTCGCCGTCGACGATTACGTTTTTATGGCCACCGAGCTGCTGATGTTCAAACATTTTGTTGGGGTTTTTTTTTTTTTTTCCAATTAATTTCATTTCTGATGAGGCTCAAGAAAAGGTTGCGCAACAATGCGAGTGCCTTCCATGCGTTTGCCCGACAACAATATAAAAATGGCAATGTTTCTTTTGGAAGATTTCTTTTTTTTTTTGTCAGCATCTCTGCGTTATCGGTTTGGCGCAACCCCCCCAGTTGCACGCCGGCCATTATGCCAATGAAATGTCATCAGATACGTCGCAAAAGTGCAGCCTTGCTGCAATCATCTCTGACATTAAAAACGGGCTTTTTCTTAATGCATATTCCGAGATGCCGTCGGCACTGAGAAAACCGTGCGTCGTTGAACGCGTCATTCGGAACGAGGCGGGACGAAACGAGAAATGAGGAAAAACGGTTTTTCGGTTTGGTTTTTGACAACTTTCTTGGTTGTTTTTTTTTTTTTTTTTTAAATGTCCATTTCGTCAACAATTGACTGATTTTCAACATTCTTGGTCATTTTTCTTTTTTTTTTTTTTGTTTTAAAAACACTCGTTAAATTTCATGACAGCTTTTTCCTTTTTTGGGTTGTTGTTACTCAATTCACACCAGTTTCCCTTTTTTAATTCCACTGTAATCTTGGTTTGCGTTTAAAATTTTCACAGCATCTATTTTGGCGCGTCGTCTTTCCGCCGGCATGTTTTCATTCAGACGAGGTGGCCGCCGCCGCTCCCCCGGGTGGCGCTTTCGCGACTGAAGTTAATATGCGAGGCAGAATTTTGCATTGAAGGCTCGAAAACGTCCTCGCGGAGCCGAGCGCTTGGCAACATGAAAAGTGACGCGGGCGGGGATGAAGCCAAATGAAAAGTCCCCTCAGCAAATGGATGTGTGTAATAGCCGGCATGAACATTACATAATGCGCTCATCGGGATGAAGGCGGGCGCGGGGTCGGCCGGGGTGGGGGTCAATCCCGAGCGAGGGTGGCTGGCTGCGCTGCGGCAACTGCGGCCGTCTCGACAGCTTGCGCGCGATAAAAAGATTGCGCTCCTTTCGACGGAGCGTTACGAAGCTCGGGGGGAGGTTTTGGGCGCGGATCGATGCGAAGCTCCACCGGCGGGTTTCAGTGCGAGACCGGCAACAGATGGATGGGCAGGTTCTTAAAGGGACGGCGATGATTTGTGCGACCGTATTTGGGGAAGAAGTTTTGAGGATTTAAAGACAACTTCTGGTTGCAAATAAAAAAACCCAAACATAGCCTCAATCATTCTTACCACAATTCCAACCAAGGTGACCCAAAATCCATCGGGCTCGTGATAATTTCCGACAGGAGTGACCCTTCAGTCTTTCAACCCCCCCCCCCCCGCTAACTTTGCTCTGACTGGATGATGCTAGCAATAAAGGAGTAGGGGTTGTTATGAGTGGATCCAA